GAAAATTAAGCATGTTTTTTTTATTGTTGTCAGCTCAGCGGTGTCAAACACTCCATCTCATTTGTTTTGGAAGACATTAATATTTCAGACGAAAGATTGATAATAAACACTCCACATTTATTAAAAACATCGAAACCTGGTCGGCATCAGCCACCCTTTTTGTTTGACAGTTTTAAATCAGATAAACGCTTGTGTATTGTCAGCGTCATTAGTGAGTATTTACAGAGAACGAAAGACCTCAGAAATACCAATAAATTACTGATATCAACGGTCAAGCCTCATGGGGCCGTTTCAAAACAAACAATTTGTCGCTGGATTAAGCTAATTATGCACAGAGCTGGAGTGCATAAATCATTCAAACCACATAGCACGCGCGCTGCTGCGTCTTCAATCGCACACATGCGTGGAGTCCCGTTACAGACGATAATTGAATCAGCGGGATGGAGCAATGCTAAGACATTCGCTAAATATTATGATAAACCAGTATCAAATACCAATGGAAAATCTATGCAGGCTATCATAGATATTGCTTATTAGAGTGTATAATAATGGGGAAAAAAAAAAAAAAAAAAAAAAAAAAAAAAAAAACTGTAGTGATAATAATAATTATAGCTATATTTAATTACTTTCTATATAGTTGTGCATGGCATTTATATTCTGTAAAAATATGAAAAACATGTGTTTTTACCGAATTGCAGAATACAAAAAGACCTTTATGTCTTGAAATTAAATCGTTGTTCTTCATAATAACATGAAAGATAAATATTTACTATGGCGTTGGATGGCACGTAATGTCCTTTCCAAAATATCGCAAAAAGGACTCTAAAATCTCTGTGGGCCCATTAGTGAGTTTATATGTAGGATGAAATTAAATGATTAAGCTAGACTTACCTGTAAGGTGAAGGTTAATCATGATTTCATCCACATAAAACTCACTAAGGGCTCACACACCCAACCCGCTACCTCCCCGTTTAAACTGATATTTTTGCGATATTATTCGACATTACTTACTCTAAAATATGACCACTGGCTGCTGATAGCTGCGTCTTCTCTGTGTGAGCCCTTAGTGAGTTTTATGTGGATGAAATCATGATTAACCTTCACCTTACAGGTAAGTCTAGCTTAATCATTTAATTATACACACAAGACTTAGAACACATTGTAGTTCTCTCAAAGAACATTTGTTTTCAAAAAACATAATAGAAAGTCCCCTATGTGAATGTGGAGACATAGAAAACACATCTCATTATTTCTTCTCGTGTCCGAAGTACCAAGATGAACGAAATGTCCTCCTTAACAATTTAAGCGACATAACAACTGTCACACTTAACGTTTTACTCTATGGTGATAATTCAATTGCTGACGATTTAAATGAAGCAATAGTCCTTCATATACACTCATATTTACACAGAACAAAACGATTTGAAATGTAATAGAAAGTTATTATTTAGACTTATATGAAATAGAGATTTAGATGCATAATATCTTCTCAAAAGTATATTATAATCTCGTTCCATTAACTCCATAGTATTATAGTGACCATTGTTGTCTTTCTTTTTCTTTCTCTCTCTCAAATCTGTCTCTTTTTTTCTTACCTTCTATTACCCAACAATTTCAACAATTAACTTATGTTTCCATATCTTTATTTTTCTTTAATTTTTTTTAAACATCGTTAAAACTTCTATTATTTTTCTTGATAAGTTTAAACGTGCTAATTTGTGCATTTATCACTTACGTGTATTTATGCTATAGAACTATATATTTTTATGACTATATTTTATTATTAAGGTCGTTTCGATCAGGAAAACCAGAGTGCAAATTGCTAACTTTCTTGTACATGTAAAGAAGCAAGTTTATAGTGAAAATGTTATGTATATTTAACACAAAAATGCATATAATTGTTACCATTTTACATACTCTTTGAGAAAGTGATTACGGAAAGAGTTTCTAAAAAAGCTTAGCTTCCTACTCAATTCGTACTATTTATTATTTGTCAATTATCATGTAAATGTTATGTTTATAAATAAAATATTGTTTAAACTAAATTATTTTTATTTACACCTATAGTGTATAAAATCGCTTAAAAACTAAACTAAAGGTACTACCGAATCTTTACTTCTACAAAACACGTTCAATAAGAACAATAGCTAATCTGCTGAATTTTTTCAAAGTGTTTAATTGGATTATTCCTATTGATTTGATAAGTTTGATTCTTTGTTTTTATTCATATACATGTATGAATTGGATGTGAAAATACAACATTGCTGTCACATCCCTATTATATTATTTCGGTAATTTTTATAATTACAGTATCTCGCTATATACGTATTTACAAATACAACAATTCTGTGGTTGAAAGAAAAAAATACAAATGATAATAAGTATATAAAACAGTTTAATAACATTCTAGAAATTTTGAGTTGTCTAGTTTCAAACGGAGAACAAAGAAAGAACACCACAACATCATTATCATTCAACGATATACAGAGTATAACTTTATTTTCTGATTGAAATAAATTTACTTATTTGTATATACAAGGTATAATACAATAATAACACTTGATAAATGTTCTTCACATGGACATACGTAAATAAAATTATATTCAGCATATCAATACAGAACCAAAAATATTCTAGTCTTACAAATGTTCATACGTATGCTTTTACAATTAACATTTCTTAAATATTGTTAAAAAAAGTTAACTTTACAACATTCATAAAATATATAATTTAATGTTTCCATGTCAGTATTACATAAAGAACAACGATTATTTTCTGCTAATTTCATGCTATACATTTTGTCGTTTGTGGGTAAAATATTATGAGCAATTCTATATTGTAGCCGATGTATATGTAATAGAAAGAGCATCGAAACACGAGGCTATCTAATTTGTACGAGGGGGCGTAGCACCCGAGTATTAATCAGATTGCCAAGTGTTTTGATGTTCTTTCTCTTTTGTATCATAGTCAAACATAAAAACACGTTCCCTGTTGTCACACTATGAAATCCCGGAGAAAAGTAACCAATGAACGAGCATCTAAATATGATATTTCTGTCGCTTTCACTTTCTCTACCGTCACAATTAGTAAGCCCCAGCAAAAAGGAGCCTATAAATGGGCATGCTCTGGAGTGCGGGTAACTAATACCTGCATTCCAGTTAACGCACTGTGCATGTATATACATGTATACGATTGACCTCTGACACATTTACAACAGAAAGGTCCCCAAACTATGATACAGAGACCTAAAACGAAACTATATATTTTATTCCACTTAATTTGATATAATATTTCATTTGTAAACAAAGATGAGCATGATACATCTGTATTTTGGATAAGCGCATTATCTATGTATTTATTTAAAATATTCTTTACCAGTGTTGTATACAAATAACAATTTAAGCATGGATTATTAACCATTGAAATCTCACATCTATCATTTAAGATGTGTCTGAATAAGTCAGTAAGTTCTATTATAATAAAGAAAGTTAAGTTTTTGCCCAACTATGGATTCTCATTCATTTAAAGTATACATCTGTTCATTGTCGTCATTTAAATAATCTTTAACCAAACCTATTCCTTTATGAGTAAGTAAACCTTCTAAATTTAACATCTGAATATCATTTAATACATTGCAATCACATCCTTCTAATTCCTGAATACATTTTACCAAATCTAAAACATTACTGCTATCATAAACAGGTAAATAACGTCCTTTTCCTTTATCTATTCATTAATACAATGAAACTAAATTAAACCGAGCAATAAAGAGTTATTAAATTTTCATTCATTGATTGGCCAATTTTATAGCAAATCCCATTAAAACATTTTCTAACATAACATGAATAGATTCACTAATCAAACAGAAAATCAGTCTTGCTTTTTTTATAGATTTTAATCTTTTTCATATGTTATTGACGCAAGTGCTACGAAGTTCTCTGAAAGGATATTTCAAATTTCTGTCAGAAATAATATTTAACAAAGTTTGTCTAGCCCGTATAGTTATTGTTAACAGATTTGTTATTATAATAATCTATTTGTGTATTTAGAATCAACACATATAACAAATTTATATGTACAGATGTATTGCACTCGATAAAGGCTCTGTATATCATGCAACAAACACAGGTGACCACAATGGAAATAAGAGTCTCTCTTTTTGTGTTATCTTTGGTGTTTGTGTACATGTCATGGCTTATTTATTCTCATGTATATTAAATATTTGTTCATGTTGTTTTAATATCAATGTATTCCATACTGAAATAAATTTTTGATCAATTTTGTTGATTACCATATTATAAAAGTCTAGAAAATCTGTACATTATTTGACCATAAATATTCTCTAAAAGCAAAGGTGTTTCATTATATAGATCTATCAGCTGTAACAAAATTCCTCGTATTATCTATGATTACAATAACTTCCTTTACATTTAGATTATTTTCTAATTGAAGTTGCCATACCTTGTTTCTTTGATTTACCATTCTCCTTCCTATTTTGCATAAACTTGATGTTAAATGAGTATCTTGTTAACAGACAATATGAAATTGATTTTCTTTTAATATTTTTATTAAAACACTATTTTTTCATTTAGACCTCGACAATTATTGCAAAAAAAAAAAATTTGTAAATTAGTTATAATATGCTAACATTCAAAATAACGAATTCATTTACTACAACAAAGTTTAGAACATAAAATTTATAACTACATAAAACACGAACCCAATCGGGTATGGTGAACATGGCACAAAGTCGTTTTTCACTTATAAGTGAAATTTATAGATACATTGGTTTATTTATCAAACAAATTTTCACAAATAAAGGTATACAGGATTGATTTACAGTTATAAACATAAACAGTCGATTTTTGAAAACAAATTATCATCCAAAAAATCCAACAGTGAGAATATATTACAATTATTATGAAAAAATAATTTATTTACAAAGAAACAATGACAACAACAACAACAAAAAAAAAACAAAAAAAACAACAACAACACAAAAATATGGAGTGTTTTACATAAACTTTTATCAATAAAACTATAAGTATAATTCAAATGACAACTTATCATTTTATTAATTTTAGATACACATACGAATTTTATATGTGTACCTTTATTACTATTTAATTCAATCAAAATATCAATTATTTGGAGCTTTTGTTATACTACTTTATCAAAATATCAATCATATGGACTACATATAATTATGTGGTATTATTTCATATATCTGTGATAGTACTACCATGAAAATATAAATCATATTTAGTGTATTATGTATGCCATTACGGAATTCAATCAAGTCTGGACTTATATTGTACACCGTTATAATACAACCATATAAATTATGGTCTTTGCTGGTTGAATTAAACATTGTCTTCACTTATTATGTAAACCAAAATAAGTATCTTATTAAAATTTCTTCTTACATCTTTTTCACTCATTGAGTACGCCATAATTTCTAATTAATGTCTTATGCATTTGTTTCACATACCATAATTGGTATCTAATTAATTTCATTTTCGTTTATTAAGTACTCAGTCATATGTAACTTATTACTTACTTCTTCATTTATTATGTACATAAAAAAGTATCGGGTATCTAACAATTTCTTCTGCATGAAAACTAAAATAAGAATCTAATTAATCTCTTAAAAAAAAAAAAAAAAAAAAAAAAAAAAAAAAAAAAAAAAACAGTATGTAATTGATTGCTTCTTTACATAATAAGTTCACCATTTATAGCTAGTTTATTTTTTCTTCGCTCCTGAATAACGTCTTGCAAAGATTGATTTTGGTGTGGCTACACTCTTTTTAGACAGTATGGGTTTTCCTTTGAACTCCGCCGCCATTTTCGATGAATCCGGTCTTTTTGACATATCTCTTTCAAGGCATAGCAATATTTTCTCAATCACTAACTGAGCCAAATTTAAATTTTGGACGATTGGTTCCAGATGTTTTCTTGCGATAACTCCAAAAAGCTTTTGATAGAATCTCTTGGTACATCGGAAAATACTTTAAATCGACTATTCGCTACTTCCAGGGTAAGTAGAGCAAATGCGTACATGTCTGCACATGCAACATACATTTGACCGCATAGAACTTCAGGTGCAAGATATTCCCATCCAGGAGTAACTCTTTCGAACTCTGACTTAGGCAATACTGGTTTTCTTGGCAAACAACACCCTGTCATCTTTACTTCTCCTTTCTCCGATACCTAGAATATGTTTAAAAACAGATTTCACGACAGAATATACATATAATTACACATTATTGTTAGAATATGTAAAATTGATGGATTATTGAAAATTTTGAGTATTATTGCTTTTGTTTAAGACGTGTCTATCAAGTAGGCTGTCTCAAACCATCAAAGTCGGTCATTCGTTTTGTTATTAATTAATTAATATTATAAATTATCAACTTTTAACAAGTTATAACACTACGCCTTTGCATATGTTTGCTTCTGTGAAATGTATCGTTAAATCCACTTTAGCAGTTCATTTTGTTTTTATTTGACAATAATGTAAATATATGAACTTATAATTACAGTAACGGTGTCTTTGGTCAGATCCATATGAACCAAACCTTTGGAATGAAGATACTGTAGACCGGCAAGAACATCTTGAAGAGTTTTCTTAGCATTAACTTCAGATGTGTCCATGCATGTACGAAGGGAGCACAGTTTTCCCGCGAATATAAGTGCCGGAGTAGGTGCGTCTCGTTGGTGGAACTCTCCTAGAAATTCTGCTATACACACGTCGGAGTGCATCAAACATCTGAAACAATTCAATAATTGTTATAGTATTCAACTATATATTTGTAAACATGCAGAACAAAATGCGTGCAAGAGGCTTATGCGTAACATCAGGCATGTGTTGTAAAATAAAAGTAGTATATACAAATGTAAAGTGCAAAATGTTCCCGATTCAATTGTCAGGTAAATGCAAAAATGAAGAAATATTAGATGGTCAAGACTGCACTATAGACATGTTTTTGCTACTGCTCGTTTAAATGGAAGAACCCTTCTGTGTTCCTTTTAGCAATCATTATTGTGTTACTTGTGTCTACTGACGACTTTTGTTGTCTTGAAGAAAATTATTAATGAAGAGTTAAGGAAAGTTAATCTATTATTTCCTTTAAAAATGTCTGATAAATTTGATAATACATGTTTATCATTTTCCTGATAGTAAACACAGAAACATATGTATGACTCATTACTATGCAACTGTATCAAGAAGGGGCAATATATAAAATATTTCTTTAGGTAATTATACATTTTACTGTACAATACGGGAATATATTTGGACGAGTACACAGCTTAAAAAGTCATATTGGACGGGCCGATATTTGACTTTTCAAGCTGTGTACAGTAAAATGTACAATTACCTTTTTATTATATTTTTCGTTTAATTTGAAATATCATCATCATCACTCCAACAAAACCACCACCAATATCATCATCCACACCACCACCATTATCGGTAACAAAACCACTATCACTTCTAACAACACCATCACTAAAACCACCAAAATTACAACCACTACCACCGTCATCAATAATAGCCCTGTGACCCCTGTCAATTTTTATTAGAAGAAAAGGTAATAATTCATGAATGGTTTTGTTGTATACCTACATAAGTTTTACGAATTGACTGATGCAACGAATACTTTTTTTAGACGTTACAGTATTTATCGATTTATCATTTACTGTGAGTTCAAGAAAATGACAGTTAACATTGCCTAAACAAATTATACATTGTAACAACTTACATTTATCATTAATATCTGTTTAATAAACATCATAATTATATAACAGTAAATCCGAAATATATCACATTGACAGCTCTTATCTAAATTATCACATTGACAATAGTATAACAATAATAATAGATTGTCGATTGGTTAGATTTATAATAATAATAATAATAAAAATAATAATAACCAGATTTATAAAGCGCCCTTTTCATGCAGAGCACGTTCAAAGGCGCTGTACATAAGAAATAAAAGAATTATCACAAAAGTAGTAGTATGGGATAAAACGTAAAATAGAAAAGAAAAAAATACAAAATGAAGGTAAAAATAAGATATACCCGTGTGCTGCTACACACAGAATACGTTTAAAACGTCTTATAAAACTGGTAAAACTTACAAACTTGTGTAAATAACTAGAAGAATATTAATAGGTTATTGTAAAAAGAAGATTTTTTCAAAACTTTTTTAAAAGACGAAAGAGTTTTACAGTCATGTAGTTCTGAAGGTAATGTGTTCCAAAGTGTTGGTGCAGCAAATGAAAACATCGATCACCGTATGTTACAGTTCTGGAACGTGGAACATTCAGTAATACCGATTCATACAGGGACCTTAATTGTCTGTGAGGTATATACACTTTTAACAAGTTTCTGATGTATTGCTGGGCTTCTCCATGAAGGGCTGCAATGACGTGAGTAAGATTTTATAATCTATACATCGATGTATTGGAAGCCAATGAAGTTCTTTTAGCACTGGCGTGATGCTGACATACCTATGAGTTTTGGTTTTAAAGGGTGCAGCGGTATATTGAACGATTTGTAATTTGTTAAGAACTGTCTTTGCAGAGCCATTTAGAAGGGCATTACAATAGTCCAGTTTTCGATGCAATTGAAATAA